AAAGACAACTACTTCAAGCCTTAACCCAATTCAATTTCCTCCATTTTTCTCCCTCATGTTAGTCTTGATGATTTGCCTCATGATGTCAAGATCGAGACCAGGATCGCATTCAGTGTGGTTCTGTCACTTCCTGCTCTAAAAGACTCACTCAAAGTCTTAGTTGAGTCAACTCAACTGGTGCTATTGATATGTTTAAAGAAATTGGCCTTAAGCTCTACATTTTCTTTCCTTCAACTGCTATGCTGTTACAATTGGTATTTTGTTTTCCCAAGCTTGATCATATGTTTTCTTGTGAGTACAGAGACTTGCCTGAGCCGATCAAGTTACCTGGGTGCATGCCTTTTAACGGGAGAGATGTAGTGGACGCTGCTCAAGACAAAAAAATGTGGCCTACCAAGGGATTATTCGGCTGTGCAGATGTTACCCACTGGCTGAAGGGATTATGGTTGATAGCTTTATCAAATCGGAAAAGGACGCCTTTAGAGAGTGTTTGATACGGGATAATTTGTCTAAAAATTACAATGATATGCATTCAGTAATTACATTATCTTGTATGATATTAATTTCAAAATCTTAGGTGACAATGATCTTAAATCATTAGAGTGATAAAATTATTACCGTGAGTGAGAATATAATTCATAATCTGTGAAAGTATTATTATTATGGAAAAGTAATTTTTAATATATATTCTTTGACTAATTTAAGATGTATTTAACATTGCCTTAGAAAGCTAACTAATAAAAAATTTCAAAAATTTATTTTTCTAATAACTTATTTTTAAAAGGGTTTTCTATTACAATTAAATAAATGTTTATTAATTATAAAAATAATGAAATTATTTAATAAATTTTTTTAAAAATTATTTTTTATCAAAATTGATTTATATTTTATAATTTTCTATAAAATAATATTTAATTATTTTATAAATGATTGATTCAATAAGGATTAAAAATTTTGTTTTTTTTTGTAAAGTTATTTTAAATATTTTATATTTTATGATTATTTTTTTTGTATAATAACAAATACAATAATTTAAGATCACTAGTGATTTATAATATTATATCAAATATAATAATTTAAAATCATCAATAATTAAATCACTTTAATAATTTTATCAGTATAATAATTAAATCACTATAATAATTTTAAAAATGATATCAATTCTTACTTTAAAAATTTGACTGAGGGTGAACTGGAACTTGACTTACCAGTGGTTTACAAAGTTGGACCAGTAATACTAACAAGTTCAACCATTTTTGTAAATGCGTCTTACCATTGTTAAATTAGTAAGATGCTCAGCCTAATGGATCTGCGGTTTATGCCCGTTTCGGAAGCGGTGGGACTTTTTCTCATGAGCAGCTAAATGAATTCGCACTTGGGCTGGAAATGAGTGGACAAAGATTTCTATGGGTTGTTAAGAGCCCGGATGAAAAGGCAACAAATGCCACTTCAGTGTAGAAAGTGTAAAAGACACTTTTCATTTTCTCCCTGATGGGTTTATGAGAAGGACCAAAAGGGTCGGCCCGCTAGTGTCGTCTTGGGCTTCACAGATCAAGGTTTTGAGAGATGGCTCTAAGGGAGGGTCTTAACCCATTGTGGGTGGAATTCATCACTGAAGGCCATTATACGGATTTATAGATTCAGAGAAAAATTTGAGGTGTTGGTGACTGGAGTTCATATGGTGTCTTTTTCGTACCATTAATTGCCTGGTCACTCTATGCAGAACAAAAGATGAATGCAATGCTTTTAGTTGATGATTTGAAGGTTGCATTGAGGGTAAAAGAGAACAAAAATAGGGTAGTGAGGAGAGAAGACATTGTAAATTTTGTTGAGGGACTGATCGGGGGGGAAGAAGGGAAATTGCTGAGAAACAAGATGAGAAAATTGAATGATACTGCCAAAATGGTTTTAAACCCATATGGATCATCTATAAAATTACTGGCCAAAGTAGCAGAAATATGAAAGAACCAGGAAAATAACAGTTAGAACTTTGAGATACGTTTGTGATGTTGTACCAACTTGTCAATTATGTAACAATGGCGATAGGAGTATAATTGATGTGGGGTGATTGTTGATTATGTTAGGAATAATGATTCAAATTTCATAAGAGATTTGTTTGGGATTTGTTAGAGATTTTTTGAGATTGACTAAATATTACTTAATGGATAAGAAAACTTACAAAAGAAAAATTCTAAGAAAAATATGATTTTTAATAGGTAAGTTTGACTTGTATGAGAAAAATTCTAAGAGGAAATAGATTTTTAATAGGTAAGTTTGTATGGTTATAAATAAGTGAAGTTTTTATAGGGTTAGATATGAGAAAAAGATGTAAGAGAGATGTAAGGTTTTGTGGTATAGATACCCTCTAAGAGTATTGAGGCTTTATGTTTTATGGATGTGTATGTTTGTTTGTGAGTGGACTAGAAGAGATTGAGAGGGTCCACATAAATGTGATGTATGAGTGGATATGGGTATGTGTTTGGTTGTGTTGAAAGTGTACATATGGATATGTGTTTATTTAGGTTGAGAATACTCTATAAGACTAGAAGAGATTGAGAGGGTCTATGGGTATTGATTGTTGAGTAGTTGATATGTTTTGATATATGTTTGTAATTCTCTACAACTAGTCATCTTGTTTCTCATCTATGGACATAGATCAATTGGATCGAACTACGTTAAATTATTATTTCTTATGTGTTTGATTCATTGTTTGATTTCACTTTTCGCTGGTATGATTAGATTAGGGCCTTTTTGACCTAACAAGTGATATCATAGCTGTAGTGATTTCCTAACAAGTGGTATCAAAGCCAAAAGTTTGAAATATAGGAAGAGCTGAAGGTTCAAGATGTGGAAAGAGCATGGTTTGAGACATGAAAAGAGTCAAGCTTAGAGGAGCTCGATTCAAGAAAGAAGTTTGAGTTCGTGTTTTGAAGATCGATTTGCATGAAAAGTAAAGACATACAAAAAAAATGATTGTAAGACTTCCATTGTAGGTAAAATCAAACATGCTAGCATGAAGATAGATGATTGATGAAATTTGAGTCAAGATGAAAATTGTTAGGAATAATGACTTAAATCTCATAGGAAATTTATTTAGGATTTGTTAGAGATTTTTTTGAGATTGGTCAGATATTGCTTAATGGACAAGAAGACTTGCAAAAAAAAAATTCTAAAGGAAAGAGAATTTTAATAGGCAAATTTAACTTGAAAGAAAAGAATTTTAAGAGAAAAAAAATTCTTAATAGACAAGTTTGTATAATTATAAATAAGTGAAGTCTTTATAGGGTTAGGTATGAGAAAAAGATGTAAGAGAGTTGTAAGATTTTGTGGGATAGACACTCTATAAGAGTATTGGGGTTTATGTCTTATGAGTGTGTATGTTTATTTATGAGTGGATTAAAAGAGACTAAAAAAGTTCACATAGATGTGATGTATGGTTGGATATGGGCATGTGTTTGATTGTGTTGAAAGAGTGCATATAGATATGTGTTTATTTAGATTGAGAATACTCTATAAGACTAAAAGAGATTAAGAGGGTCTATGCGTATTGATTGTTGAGTGATTGATATGTTTTTATGTATATTTATAATTCTCTATAATTAGTGAATCTTATTTTTCATTCGTAAATATAGATTAGTTAGATCAAATCATGTTAAATTATTGTCTTTTATGTATTTGATTTATTATTTGATTTTATTTTCGTTGATGTAATTAAATTGTGACCTTTTATCTAATAAATGATATTATAGCCATAATAATTTTTTAACAAATTAGTCTTTTGAACTCTTTTTTTTATAATAGTAGTGATTGAATAGAATATATTACTTACAGGAGGGTAAGGAGAATATTAAGTCCATGCCTTAGTGTCCAAGCAGGATGATTGATACTCTCGAAGATGATGGGATAAATTAGGCTGTTTGTCTTGTTGGATTTGTTATGCCCGCTAATGGCAAAGCCAATGCCTAAAGGCTCGGGATAAGATTAAGATGTGAGACCCATTGACAATAACCACTCAAGACAAAGGCACCACATGTCCAGATAGGCCTGACTTACTTGTCAAAAAAGGATTAGACGCACGTACACATTGCTAGTTATGTCAATCAACCACATTAATATTACAAGACATAAAAAAGGTAATAGATAAGGGTACCAAACCCTAGGTCTTATTCTCTAATAATATTCAATACTATCTTTTTCTCTTCCGTCTTCAATACCTTTACTGACTACAGCGGATCGCATCTCAAACCTCAAACTCTAGTGGCCTTAGCCATTCTTTACTCTTTAACAGGTCCCGGATCATCTCTGCTCGACAATCTCACCAGATCACTATCCTCAAACCATAAAAAGCTATCAACATTTGGCACTGTAACGGTAATCATGTCTCAACCACAAAGATGAAACTATCTTATCATCAATCGACTTCTCCTCAGCCACCATTACGCCTCCTATAACTACATCAGTGGATCTGCCTAAAAGGCTTAACTAATCATCCTCCAACTTTACCTTCTTTCAAATTCTTTTTCAGCAATCAAAGATATGAGTGCCTCTTCATATCATTATTCACCGATGTCGTTTATCTCGTGCCTATCTCACCAGCAAAACCATTTTCAGTAATCTTATCTGTTAAACATAATGATCCCCTCCAACAATGGTGATTCTTGGCTTAAGATAAATTTATTCGTGAAGAAATATTTTTAACACTGAATTTATAGATATTTTTATTAATATTCATTATTTTACACATTTATATCTCATCTCTCGATAATCATTTTACTTTTTCACTCTCATTTTTAAGTTTATAGTTCAACTATGTTCAATAAATTCTTAAAATATAATCTTGAATTTCTTCAATTTAGACGTTGGTCTTGGAAATAATTTTTTAAGATTTTATTTACATTTTAAGTTGAAAAATTATTATTTTTTAGGAAAGCTTCTTGTCTTTTTTTTTTAAGTTAAATTATATGAGTAAAACCCAAATTAATTCAATTTAACTTTTTCACAAGATTTTTTTAACTATTATACTTGGATTAGTAGTATTAACTTCTCGGATTTAACTTTGATAGTGGTGCCCAGTTTATTTCCAAAAAATGGTTTATAGTAACGGCCTCAGCCCAATACCTCAGTCAATCCAAGGCTCATATTTTAGACCACAAGCTTCGGTTTTGGACCTTTGAAAGCCCCAAAGTCTAGGGTTTTGTTGCACCTGAATCTGTAACACATTGTACGGATATGGAGAAACCAGTCGCGACACTCGATAGAGGCACGACATGCTCGGCCTGGAACTACTGCGGCGAGAGATTAGCCGCAGGCTCCGTTGACGGTTCTCTATCTGTCTTAGATTCTCGTGACCCTTCCTCTTCTTCCTTCACTTGCTCCTCCAAATTCAAGGTCTCCCTTAACAAAACAAAATTTTTTTTTCCTTTTTGTATTTCTCTTTTCATTAAATTAATAATAATTATGGCATTTTAGGCTAAAATTTTAAGTTATTTTCTTTGATTTTAGGCGCATGAAACTGGCATTGTGAAGGTTACTTGGATCCCTCCTGAGTATGGGGATGCTGTTGCTTGCATTTCCGAAGATGGGACTTTATCAATATGGGAAGAGCTTGTAGAAGGTTTCTTTTTCTTTTTTTTTTTTTTTCTTGAAATTTTTAATGGTTAGATTTGGTGGTAATATTTCGAAAATGGCAATTGATACTGTAAAATTTGTTAGGTACACAGCCTCTTCTATGGAAGCTATGCAAAAGCTTTAAGACTAGTTCCAAGGTTTTAGATGTTCAATTTGGAGTCAATCAAACGAGTTTGAAAATGGTGGGTTTTAAAACCTTTTTTTTTTTTGCTATTCTGCTTCATGTTTCCATAATAGTATATATAGTTTATTTTGCTTTTACAATTGACATTTTCATAGCTGCTCTTTGTTTTATTTTACAGGTTGCTGCTTACTCAGATGGCTTTGTGAAAGTCTTTGAGCTCCTTGATCCGTTGGAATTAAACAACTGGCAACTTCAGGTAATCAATTCTCTGCATCTGTCCTTCCTTTTTTTTTTTTTTTATCCAGCCTTTCCCAATCATCAATTTTGCAGGGTTTATTATACTCTCATGAGTGTCTGTACGCTGTCCACTCATCCATTTTGTGAACTTTCTTTTCTAACTGTTTTATGTTTTTTATTCCAGGCTGAATTTCAGAATGTTATAGATTCTGTTTCTACATTTGGGAAGGCTTCATGCTTAACAGCGTCTATTTCTTGGAATCCTCAAAGGGGTGAAGGGCAAGAATCGAGCTTTATTTTGGGTTTCAATTCTAATACTCCACAACTCAATTCTTCCAAGGTATTCCTAAATTCATTGTCCTTGCAGCTAAATTCTGCTCTAATATGATGAGATTGGGGTATAATCAATTCAGTCCATGCATGAGCATTATCTCTGTAGTCTACAATGTACTTTTATTTGGTTTGGTTTATAAAGTTCCAGAAATCCAGAGTTTTTGGAAGATTTGCAAGTCTAGTAGCCAAATATATTTATATTTTGATGTTAGGAGTTTGTCTGGTGGCATTTTTCTTGACTGACTTGCATACTGACAGAAATATGCGGAGTTCTTGTTAAAATTGCTAATTTAGACTCACTCTAGAGTTTCATAGATGTGGGAATTTGATCCAGCTCATCAGAGATGGCTGCCAGTGGCAGAGTTGGCTTTGCCTGGTGACAAGGGAGATCAAGTTTATTCTGTTGCATGGGCACCGAACATTGGACGGTAATGGAAATTATTATTCTTTATGAAATTGTGTTTTTAGAAGCCATTGCCCATTAGTGGGATTCTAGACATTATAAAATAAGGTCCACAAGTTCCTCCTTTATGCTGGAGTTCAACTGGGATAATTTCCAGACCATTTGCATTGTGAATTCATTTCAAACTAAATACCTTTTTCTTTTTGGTGATACAGGCCATATGAGGTAATAGCTGTTGCATCTCAGAAAGGAATTTCTATATGGCATGTTGGATCAACCCCTGATTTGGATGGAAGGCTCTCAATAGAGAAGGTTGCATTGCTTTCTGGACACAACAGTGAGGTATTCTATAGTTAAAACTTTATATTTGAGCTTCCATATATTGTTATCTGTTAATCTAAATATGATTTGTATAATTTGTGTGCGTATCACTCCTCACTAATAGGACTTTCTACATAATAGTTTTAGTTTTCAGTTAGATGGTGAGATTGATCATCTAAAATGCACTCTGGTACAAAATATGCGACCTTTAACATAATTTTGAGAAGGATAAAGGTTACAATACTAGTGCAATGTACCAAACTATCTCACTGAAAATTCTCAAAGCTTCTTTGTCTGTTTCTCATCATGAAATAGTAAGAGGCTAAGAGCCCTGGGCTGGCACTGATGATCTTAATTTATCACCATCTCTACCTTCTAAATTGTCTACCTCCTCTTCCTTAATTTGTCTCTTCACCACAAAAGTGCATCATTTTCTTTTGTCTTTATCTTAGCCTTTTCTCATTTCATTTTAGATTTCTGTTTCGTTTCACCAGTCTGGATTTTGCATCTTGTTGCCTTTTTCTTTCTCATTTTCTTGTGAAATTCAGGTTGATGATGGTTGATGAATGGCATTTTGTCTTAAGGTTTAGAGAGGTACCTTGATGGTTGATGAATGTGTGGTACTCCGAACTAGATAGAGATAACATATTTGATATATGTAGACGTTCTAAGAATATTTACCTACTTTTTTATTAAATTTTTTAGGCAAAGAAAAGTTTTGGCCCTTTAAACGCCTTTAAAAATATAACAGGTATTGGTTTGTATTTCTCTACCTCCATATGCATGCATGTCAAATTTCCATCCTTTTTTGAGGAGGCAAGTTGGATCAGTATTGATATCTATTACTGAATAAATACAAGCATATGCATTATTTTTGTATTCCTTTGCCTCTATGACTACATCAATTGCTTCATCTTTTGGAGAGGAAGTTGGATAATGTAGGCATTCATTACATGAAAAATGCATGTAAGACCTAGAGAAAGAGGTTATTATTATGAATTTAAAGAAACTACTGAATTTTATTTACTCTGTGTGCCTAGTGTCCTAGCTTATTTTACTTTTGGTAGATTTGTTTCACTTTCATGGAGGTGAGTTAGATGATAAAGTCTTTTTTGTTTGTTTGATGGTAAGGTGTGGCAGATGGAATGGGATATGAGCGGAATGACTTTGGCAACTACGGGAAGTGATGGGCGTGTAAGGTTGTGGCAATCCAACCTGAAAGGCACTTGGCATGAACAAGCAGCATTTGAACCCACTTCTTCCTAGTCCCGTCTTTAATTCCCTCGCTCTTTTCTTGTTTTGCTTGCCAAATTGTGCATTTGTTTGTGAGTGCATAGTTTCAAAAACCATCTTCATCCCCGTTAAGTTGTTTGATTTTTTTTTAACTATAATAATGGAGTCAAAACAGGAGGCTTTCATTGTCTGTGCATCCGTTTTTTTATCACATCATAGCTGAATTTCTCATTTGGTAAACAACTTTCATTTTATGTTAGTGATAGTCTACTCGTGTTTTATTGAAAATGAACTAAAAGGTTGATTATTTTTTGTAATTGAAGTTGAAACACATAAGATAAAATATAGTAATTCATGGTAAAAAGTAGAAAAGCATTAGAAAAATTTTTAAAAAAATTTAACACATAAGAAAAAGTATAACAAGGACTAAAATGCGAAAAATGATAACACTTAAAAAACTAATAATTTATTATGAGGTAAAAAGCGGTAACTTATAAAAAAAATTAACAGATGATACGAAAATTTGTTAATTCGTAAGAAGATTAAGAAAAAGTAGTAATACGTAATAAAAGTGATAACATTTTTAAAACATAAGAAAAAGTATAACATATAAAAAAAAAGTGGTATCTTTGTTCTTGAAATTTATAATGAGCCTAAAAATCAAAGTAATAACATATTTAAGGGGATTCCTATCATTTTGTTGCTAATAGAAGTTTGTAAGCAACGAAAGCATCAAAAGGAATAATTATATGTTCATGGGGATTTCCGTCATTGTGTTACTAATAGTAGGAGTTGCATCTGGGAAAAAATAATTCACTACACATCATTAATTTTTTTTTTTTTTTTTAATTTAAAAGAATGATAAAGTTTCAAATTAAGAAAAGTTTACTTTAATAAGGACTTCAATATTAATAAGAAGGTAAACAAAAATTGGTCAATATTTTAATTTAATAAAAAATCATTAATAGAGGAGAAAATAATTAATTGAATAAATTATCAAGAGAATATTTGTTTTTTTTATTAATTTCCATATTTGGAGTTGGTATTTTTATATAGAACTAGAATGGAGCCTCGCTTCACTTCGAATTTTTTATTCATAAAAAATAATTTTAAATTAAATAATATTATAAATAATATTAGTTAATAAAAGTAAAAGTAAATATTATTAAGAATAGTTTTTTTAAAAAATAATAAAAAGATTAAATTAATTAAGAAAAAAAACAAATTGATAATTTGGATAATTTAGTTGCAATCAATTATAATTTACAATAATTTTTATTATTTCTCATTTATGATCATAAAAATTAAGCAAAATTTTTTTAATGAATTATTATATTATAAAATACAATTTTTATTTTTGATACATGAAATTTTTTGTAATAATATTTGCATTTGATTTTTTTCTCATTACTAAAAATGATTATAAATATAAAACGTAAAATTTTACTTATTGGAATCAAACTAAATTTGGGGAAATTTTGTGATAATGGAATCTATTGTTGTCAAATTATTTAAAAAAAAGGTAAATAACTTTTTTGAACCAAGCAAAATTTGAGGTGGCTTTGTAATAATGGAACCAATTATTTTAAAATTGATTTATCAAAACATTAATATTTTATCTTTTTTTTTTTATATAAAAACAAAACTATTTTATAAAAAACTATACAGTTTAGTTATAAATGAAAATAATCATTAACTTATGATATTACTTATATTAGGTTGTATTTTTCCACTGAAAATTAATTTTAAAATTGTTTATATTAGATTATGTAATTGTATTTATCATATGAAAGTACTGAAATAAATTTTAAAATTATTTATAATATTATATAATTTTATACTCTTTTCATTCCAAATTGAATATTCGTATATAATTTGAGATGCAGACTAAGAAAATTTGAATTTAATTATTTTAATATTTTTTCTTTACTTTTTTATAATATTGATAAACAATAGATTTAAATGTAAAAAAAAAATAATTTGAAAATTTTTGCATGCGTTAAAGGAAATAAAAACAAATTTGAGACAATCTAAATTCAAGAAATGTGGAGATTTAATTTTAGAAAAACATTAGTATGTTTTTTAATTTATTTTTATTATGTTGATTAATATATTTTATCTATTAATTTTTTATTTGAAAGTTAGGTAACTATTATTAATCAATTATATCATTTTTATGTTTTTCTTTATCACTTCTAATTATTCAAAAAAATTTTACCCAACTAATAAAATTTTAACATATTATTTGAAAAATATAAAAAAAAATTTATGAAAAATATTTTAAAAAGAAAAATAACAAAAAAGCATAAATAAATTAATTTAAATAATAAAATTTTTTTTTACCATTAAAGAAGAAAAAAAAAATGCACATGTAAGACTTGATGAACTAAGTGGTATATATAATTAAAGAAGGATCTATAAAAAAACAAATGACATAATATTAAACCTTAAGCTGGCCAAACTAAAAACTAATTAAAAGACACATGGTAAAACATTAAGCTTTGAGTTGGCAAAATTCTTGCATTAGATTGAACGGGGACAACTTTAATATTATGCTATTGATATTGATATTCCTTAGCATGGTAGTGAAGTTCAAATATTCTTGATCCTTTAAGAGAGAAGAGCAAACATAACAAAATCACCTGCTGTTTGCACTTTTTCTTTGCTTTCGTCTTGTTACTTTTCATGACGGTTGCCTACCCTACCCATGTGATTAGTATAAGTTACTATAAAATGTGGGAGAGATAGCTAAGGACGAAGCTGCGCACCAAAAGAAACCATCTCATCACACTATTTTATTCAGTTGACCATTTCTCAATTCATTTACAGCAAGCTGGTATTGTTATCTCTCTCTCTCTCTCTCTCTCTCTTTTAATACTATTAACTACTCCATTAAAATAAGAACCAGGTACCTTGCATATTTATATACATCTTCTCTAATTCTAACTGATCTCACAAATTAGAAATTAAAGTAATAGAAGGGGGCCTAAAAGAAAGAGATCTGAATGGGAAAACAAGCTACAAGCAAGGTCTGCGTTACTGGTGGTGCTGGATATTTAGGTTCTTGCCTTCTTAAGAAGCTCTCAGAAAAAGAATACACCGTCCATGCAACGCTACGAAACTTGGGTTTTTCTCTCTCGTTCACCTGTTTTCTTCTTCTTTTTTTTTCTTTTCTTTTTCCCCTCTATGTGTGTTTGTTCCTCCAGTTAATGCAATCTCTGATAGAAAATTTGATATTTGAATTGCAGAGGACAAATCGAAGGTTGGGCTTTTAAAGTCCCTCCCTGGTGCAGGACCAAACCAGTTCTATTTCAAGCTGATATATACTATACCATTGAGTTTAAACATGCAATTCAAGGGTGTGAATTTGTCTTCCACGTGGCTACTTAGCAGCAAATAGCCGGCAGTACTAAAACCTCACAGGTTAGTCTCTTAATCAAGTTAATTAGCTGCTGATCATTAATTCTTTTCCTTGTGTCATTTCCATAAGCCATAGCTGCTTAATTGTAACATTAGTTTAAGACTTGGTTTTTCTTTTGGGGGGTTACAAAGGAAATCGTTGAAGTAGCAATTTCGGGAGTGAGGAGCATCGCTGAGTCCTGCATCCGATAACAAAGCGTTAAACGGCTTATCCACACAGCTTCTGTGCTGGCTTCCTTACCACTAACGAAAGATGGATTTAACATCAAATCTTACGTAAATGAATCGTGTTGGACTCCTGTTGATGTCACATTTAACCACGGCCTTGAATATATGCGGTTACGCTCTTCTTCACCGCCATGCATCATTTCCATTGCCGGTCAATGACAGACAAATATGTCCACATTAGGGGTGTAATCGAGTCGAGTCGAGCCGATACAATAATAAGTTCGAACTCAAGCTCGACTTTAAACTTGCTGCTCAATACTCGGCTCGAACTCGATCGAGTTTCATTTTCCTAGCTCGAGCTCGATTCGTGATCAAAATTAAACTATTCGAGCTCGCTCGATTAAGTTTGATTAATATATAAAAAAAAAGCTTGATTTTTATACTCGAAAAAAACCTCGATTATTCAAGCTCGAGCTCGAGATCTTTTACAACTAATTTTTATCAAACCTAATAAATATTATATTTTCAAGATAACAACAACAACAATAACAACAACAATAATAATAATAACTTACACAACAACTAAATTTAAGCAAATAAAAGTCTCATTAAATGATTCAAATACAACACACAAATATAAGACATAATGAACTTAGAAATTAAAATCCTAATTGAAAGATATTAAATATCCAAGCAAATAAGTTCACAAATAAGTTACAACAAACTAACAATAATACATATGCTGCCTTCACAATATTATGTCTTCAAATGAACATTGGGCTCATATTGCTTTTCAATAAACCTACACAAAAGAATAATTACAAAACAAAGAAATTATAATTAACAATAAGAATAATGATAAAAGTACCCATGCAAGAAAAAGATTGTAATATTATTACAATGATCAATAACTTTAAAATTTTAACATTAGCATCAACATGGATTTTATCTTATCAGTTGTCTTATAATCAATGCAAAAAAATATAAACAGTATCTTGTCAATTACCTTAACATGAGTTTCTATCATTAGTTAATCTATGGTTCGTAAATTAAAATGCAAAAAGCTCAATATAGACTAGCTACTACCTATTTTTCTTTAGTAATGTTGTGACAAATTAAAAGTATTTAATAATAATATTTCATACCTGTATAGAAGACATTAGATATCCTCACTTTAGGGGATTTTGAGTGCAATCTCAATTGATTTCTTTTCTTTCTACATAGATAAAGTAAAGGAAAATAATAGTTAAAAATTAGATTAAAGCAATGATAGTCACCTAATAACAAAATAATAATAAAAAAACTCACTTTGTTCTTCTTCTTCACTCCATGAAGATTTCGACACCAATCTCCTCCACAAAGTAATGCTTGCACTGTGTCAGGAGATAAAGAAGCACGATAAGTATCAATAGCTCTACCTCCTGCACTAAAGGTAGCTTCTGAAGCCACTGTAGTGATAGGAATAACAAGTATATCCCGAGCCATCTTGGATAAAATACGATATTTCAAAGTGCTCGCTTTCCACCATTCCAAAGCATGAAACTTAGTGGAATCTCCTTCATAGATAAAACAACCTTCAGCTAGGTAGACATCTAAATCAGATTGTTGTGGTTGAGCAGTTTCAATTGATTTTACATAATTTACAAATTCAAACCAACCAGAAGAAGAACCTTCTATATTCATACCACTAATACCATTATCATGCACTTGAGTTTCAGCACTATGCTCATTGCCAAATTGATACTCATGAGCATATTCATCATAAATCTCATAAAGGGCATCTCGAACTTTAGCAATATTTTCTCTTGCTTCTCTATCAGGGTACATTCGAGGAAAGAAAAACTCAATCACCCTCATTTTGCACCTTGGATCCAAGATTGCTGCTATAGACATCAACAAATTACATTCTCCCCAATATTTATCAAATTTACTCTTCATCTTACGAACCATTGCTTGAACAAATTCATTTTCATCATTCATCTTTTTATCCAACAACACTTTCACACGATAAACTTCATTCAGAAACAGTTTTGAAGTTGGATAATCACTTCCAGAGATGATTTTAGTGGCTGAATTAAAAACTTCTAAAATCTCACAAACTTTCTTCACCTTTTTCCAATCTTCATGACTTGGACAACATTCATAATGAGATTCTCGCTCTTTGAGTCTCGAAAACATTTCTTTGAATTTGATTGCAATCGACAACATCTTGAATGTCGAATTCCAACGTGTTTTACAATCGAGAACGAGTTTCCTATCAGGTAACTGTAACTGCTGTACTATGTCAGAAAATGAGTTAAGTCTTGCCTCATTTTGATTAATAAAATTGACACTTTCATGAACATCACCAATCACATTCTTAATCTCAGAAAGGCCATCTTGAACCATGAGATTTAAGATATGTGCACAACACCGAATATGAAATAATTTTTCTCCACAAAACAACATCCTATTTCTTGAAAAAGTGTCTTTAAAAATTCTAATCGTCACATCATTGCTTGAAGCATTGTCCACAGAAAGTGTAAACACCTTGTTTTCAATTCCCCATTCTTTTAGACACTTAAAAATACAATCAGTAATCTCAACACCACGAGGAGGAGGAGGTATGTGAACAAAGCTAATAACACGCTTTTGCAATCTTCAATTAGAATCTACAAAGTATGCTGTAAGAACCATGTACTCAATCTTTTGATTACTTGATTTTCACAAATCTGTTGTCAAACTAATCTTACTGACAGTCTTCAACAATGCCTTTAATTTCTTTTTTTTCTGCTTTATAAACTTGCATGCAATCCTTTTTAATAGTATTGCGTGATACTTTTTCCCATTCAAGCATCCCACGTTTTTGCATCATGTTAAAACCTTCCTCTTCTATAATCGAAAAAGGATGCCCGTGCATAAGTATCCCATGTGCAGTTGCTTCTCTCATCTTTACCATATCAAACTTGCCATCGGTGAGAGCAGGTAGTATTTGTACATCACCACATGTGTTTACTGGCTGAAAGTTGATCATTTGTTGTTGATTTTGAAAATTTTTTTTCTTAACACAAGTTATCAAATGTCTCTTAAATTGAGTTGTACTTTTACTTGTATTTATTGTTAGCTTCTTCTTGCAATGTACACACTCTTTTTTTTTGGAACCATCAGAAAGAGTGACTTCTTTGAACTCTAACCAAACAGCAGATGTCTTTTGCCTATTTTTCTCATTACTTTCTTCACACTTTTCAGGGTCAGCATTATCACATTCTCTATCATTGGCATCAATGACTGGTGTTTTATCTGTGTTACCATTAGTGGCATCTAAAGCTTCATTCATTGAATCATTACCATCATCTGACACAATTCGACTAGTAAAAGAATTTATTGTCGGTTGAACTGGTATAGAAGAGATATCCGGTGTGGTTGATGACATGTTTAGTTCCCTATAGCAAAAAAAAAAAAAAAAGACAAATCAAAACAATAATATAATTTTAGGATCAAACAATAATGCAAACAAGTTGTTAGAAACATGTGCGGTAAATTTTATTGCCAGAAACATGCTAAACAAGTTGCGAGAACAAATTATTGGAAGAGTATAAAATTTTATTCTTTGGGAAAATATACTAATATTGTAGGAATTTTAATAAATTTAAGATTACCTACTTCGATAATAGTTTCAATTTCTAAAATCAATTTCTTATTAATTTTTACAATTATACATGCCTATTTAGTATTTATATAACATTTACTCAATCTCATTAGAAATAAGTGTCAGGTTATATTCTAACAAATCTAATATGCATAAAGAAGAAAAGTATTCACATTAAACAGTCCCTAATAAATTAGTGATGAACTATATGGAAGTTCAAATTACGATTATGACTAAAAACAATAGAGCCAATGACCTTTTTTTTTTTGTTAAATAATATGAACCATCCAAAAATTTTTCTACTGATAAAGCGTATTGTGCAAGTCTTGAAGTGGCCCAAATTCAATTACTTTCTTGCTAATAATATAGAGACTTTTCGTTTATAAAATTCAGTATTTAAATGCAACTTCACAAAGAACATACTACTTTTCACAAGTTTGCAACAAAAATAAAAGTATAATATGATAGTGTTTGATAAACAAATCAGAATTGAGAATATCAATACTAACAAATAGCTATAACACCTTGCCCCATTTCATTGTTGTTCTCGATCTGCATCCCCACAATATTCATAAGGGTATTTAATTTAGGGATTCATAAGGGTATTTAATTAAGGCATTCTTATTTAAACCACCTTTTAGCATGAATTGGAAGCCTAACATAAAAACATTTAATAAAAAAATGGCACTAAAAAAGTATGTCATGGAGAAAGGGCTACGTTGAGGGATCGGGTTCTGTTCAAGCTACTGCAAACGTCGAATGGGTGGAATGAGCTTACCTTTTAGAGAGAAGAGAAAGGGCTACGTTGAGGGATCGGGTTCTGTTCAAGATCGGGTTCTGTTCAAGCTACTGTAAATGTTGAATGGGTGGAACGAGCAGGGCTACATTGAGGGATCGGGTTCTGTTCAAGCTACTGCAAACGTCGAATGGGTGGAACGAGCAGGGCTTCGTTGAGGGAACGGGTTCTGTTCAAGCTACTGCAAACGTCGAATGGGTGCTACTGCAAACGTCGAATGGGTGGAACGAGCAGGGTTTCGTTGAGAGATCGGGTTCTATTCAAGCTACTGCAAACGTCGAATGGGTGCTATTGCAAACGTCGAATAGGTGGAACGAGCAGGGCTTCGTTGAGGGATCGAGTTCTATTAAAGATCGGGTTTTGTTCAAGCTACTGCAAACGTCGAATGGGTGCTACTGCAAACGTCGAATTGGTGGAACGAGCAGGGCTTCGTTGAGGGATCGGGTTCTGTTCAAGATCGGGTTCTATTCAAGCTACTACAAATGTCGAATGGGTGGAACGAGCAGGGAATCGTTGAGGGATCGGGTTTTGTTCAAGATCGGGTTCTGTTGAAGCTGCTGCAAACGTCGAATGGGGCTACTGCAAACGTCGAATGGGTGGAACGAGTAGGGCTTCGTTGAGGGATCGGGTTCTGTTCAAGATCGGGTTCTGTTGAAGCTGCTGCAAATGTCGAATGGGTGGAACGAGCAAGGCTACGTTGAGGGATCGGGTTCTGTTCAAGATCGGGTTCTGTTCAAGCTTTTTAAAGAGAGGAGAAAGGGCTTTCGAAAGGGTGGAACAAGCTTGGAAGACAATGGAGTGGGATTCGAGAAGAAAAGGCGCCGCAAGGGTCTATTGCTGAGTGAGAAAGACGGGGAAAAAGACTGAAGGAGAAGAGGGAAAGAAAGAAAATAAAATTTTAGGGTTTTTTAAGTTAAGGGTAAAAAAGTAATTTTATAAATAAAATAATAAAAATAAATATATAATAGAAAAGCTCGATTAGGCTCGCGAGCTACTAGAGCCAGATATAAAAATACTTGAATTCGGCTCGATCGATAAGTCGAGCTACTCGAGCTCGAGCTCGACTCGATAATAATCAAACCGAATTCGAGTTTTCTTCGAATCGAACTCGAGTAACTTACGAGTATTAATATATCATTTACACCCCTAATTCACACCATGTTTAATCATTAATTAATTGCCACAGCCAGTGGGGGCTTGCACGGCCCTGCCCCTTACTTTAACGTTCACAGTGCTTTAGTACTACAGCGTGTTTCCTTAGCCTTTAAAATTACTACCATATCATCTATATATTTCTGTCAGAAACAATATTACCTTCTTGAATATTTGTAATATGTAAAAACTTCTAGAAAATTTTTTTTGTTATTTCGTGAATAGAAAATAGTTACTACATTATGTTTTTAAATGTTATTTGGTGACCAAACAAAAAGAAATTTTAATTTAGGGTCATATTAATATATTAATAAAAAGAAAAAGGAAAAGAAAAATTTTCTGCTTTTCCACTAAATCACTAGTTTCATCATGGCTAAAATTCAGTCAATTCAAATAGACTTTATCTTTGAAAATTTGAGCTCTTTTATTGGATGAAATTCCTGTTGTTAGGCATATACTATATCAAAAACCTTAGCGGAGAAAGAGGCATTGAGGTATAACGACAATGATCCTGATGGCAAGTTAGAAGTTGTAACTCTTCCCTGTGGCCTATTTGGAGGAGAGACATTACTTTCTTTCTTGCCTTCAAGCGTTGAAGTGATGTTTTCACGGCTTATTGGGAAATTACATACTTTCAAGGGATTAGAATTTATGGAGAAGTTTTGGGATCAGTTCCTATGGTACACATTGAAGACGTTTGTGATGCACATATCTTCTAGCATGGAGAAACCCTCCATGAGAGGCAGATTCATTTGTGCAGCAGCTAAACCAACCATCAGAGAAATGGCAACGTATTTTCGAGAAAATTATCCACAATACGAGATAACAGAAGAGTATGTATATATAATTGCCAGGAATCATCAAGAAAAAATAATTATAGATCTAAATGAAGTAGTTTGCTCTATATATGCTCATGGGGGAAGAAAAAAAAGGCATTGGATGTGACTCCAGCAAATTGGTGAAGATGGGTTTCGAGTACAAACACGACATGAAGAAAATATTTGATGATAGTGTAAAAGTGGAAGGCGACTGGGAGCTATCTTTCTCAATTAATGAATTTATGGTCAAGCAGCCATAACTTGGATTCGGGCACCATTAAATAAACTGTACTCGTACTAATATCTATGGAAAATAAAGCAAACGATTGTAACAAGCTAGTGATATATATTGCCTTTGCCAGGAACGATTATCCTATAACTTTTCCGTTTCTAATTTAATTATGTAATTCTTATATTGAAGTTTATCCAGAAGATCGATTGAATTTTTTTTTAAATAAAAAGAAAATCGATTGAATTTGAAAACTTCATTTCTTGCCGTGATTGGCAGCAGTATAGAAAATATGCTAGTTACTCCATTCCTCTCATAAGTTATACGATTTGATTTGATTTTTTTACAATCATAATTCATCAACTTTGAGTATCGAAATTTTAAATATTTTGTTAAATTAATTTTTATAAAATTATGTTTGAAAACTATTCATTCAAGTATTTTAGAAAACATTTTCTTATATTTAATTAGTAATGTATTTAAAATAAAATAAAACCAAAGTTAAAAGTTAAATTAAAACATTATTCATGAGACATGAGATAAAATTAGTTTCTGGCATATATGACTCAAATCAAGCAATCTTTCTTCTGAATGTAGCCCAGAAAATAAAATTCCTTTGGACAAACAGTAAAATTTTGCTCTCTGAATCTTGGCTTCTTCAATATATCTCGCTAAGTTTGCTTTTGTTTTCAACCATTTGCATTTGCTTGTTTGGACTTCGTTGGCCTCTTCCATTTGTTTTTATGCTGTTAACTTTGGATTTGGCTCATTTCCTTTTTCAATATTAAATGAAAAATCTATCGACCGTCAGATAAAAGATCATATCAACACAAATAAAATTTATAATAATTTTTTTACTGTAAAATTTTTTTATTTTTTATCAAACAATATTATTTTTATTTACAATTTTTGTGCATTGTTGAATCTCGAATCCACATCGAAATTAAGCTAATTTGAATTGTCTTGTATCCACACATCGGGAGTTTAGTCAAAGGTTAAGGGTTTTCACCCTATAATAAATGTTTTGGTTTTAGTTGAGTAACCTATAAGATTAACAACAATGAGAATAGCTAATGGTAGCTATTTAAAGTGTAATTGGTTGCGTTAAGTATGTGAGTAAGGTTATTTTTTTAAGATTCATTAAAAGTCACATGTAAAGATATTGATTTTTGGTTTTGAGTTGGGCCGAACCAAATATATTTGTGTGTTCTTATTCTTGATTTGAGCTTGTTATTTTGTGTGTGGTTGCTGCGCGTAGGTATTGTTGTTTTTCCCAACAAGTGGTATCAGAGCGAGGTTCGAGGTTCGTGGGTCCAAGAGATCGTGAAGCAGTGTTTGAAGATGTCTGAAGAAGGTATGTCTGGTATGTCTATGCCTAAGTTTGAGATTCCGTTATTTGATGGAAAGAGTAATTTTATGTTATGGCAAAGTACGATTCAAGATCTATTAGTACAACAAGGGTTGGATCAAGCATTAGAGAGTAGTAAGCCTGAGGGAATGTCTGATGCTAATTGGAATAGGATTCAAAAGAAAGCCGTTAGTACTATTAGATTGGCGCTAGCTCCAGAGGTAAAATACAGTGTGTTGACTGAGAGTACTCCGAAGAGTTTGTGGGATAAGCTTGAAGGTATTTATGCTTCGAAGTCGTTGACTAATAGATTATGTTTGAAGATGGATCTGTATTCTCTGAAGATGGAAGAAGGTATGAGTCTTCATAATCACCTGAATGAGTTTAATAAATTGGTTTCTCAATTGTTAGCGATTTCTGTTGATGAGTTAAAAGATGAAGAGAAGGCTTTAATTTTGTTGTCATCTTTGCCCAAGTCTTATAGGCCTTTAGTTCAGACTGTGTTGGTAGACAGGTCTACTTTGAAGTTGGATGATGTGACTGCCCTGTTGCGTGAGAATGAAAGGTTTATGGGAGCTCAGAACTCATCACCTGGAGGGAGTTACAACTAGCTGTAGAGGGTTTTTGATCGAGGGAGGACTCAAAAGAGGATTGATGGATCGAGATGGAGATCCAAGTCAAGAGACAGAGATTACAGTGATGTAGAATGTTATTATTGTGGTAAGAAGGGACATATCCAAGTGCGCTGTAGGAAGCTGAGAAGGGATATGGCTGCTTTCAAAAGGGCAAATGATGAGAAGAAATCAGATGAAGAAAAGAGTGATACTGTTGCTATTTTGTCTGATGATGATGATGTTGTTTTGACAACTTGTGTGGATGAGACCCAGACTTTGAAAAGTGACAAAGGTTGGGTTTTAGATTCAGCTGCTACAGTTCATGTTTGCAATGATAGGAGCTGCTTTGTGGAGTTGAATGAGAATGAAAAGTATGGGGATATTGTGATTGCTAACAAAGAAAAGGTGCAGATTCAAGGCATTGGGAGTGTTCGCCTTAGATCTCACAATGGTGTTATTAGGACACTTCGTCATGTAAGGTATGTACCAAATTGTTAGGTGAGTTATCTTCTCGGGGATACACATTTTATGGTAGTAATGATTGGTTGAAAGTGTATAAGAATGGTAGTGTGATTCTACAAGGGAATAGGGTCAATCACTTGTACATGTTTGATGGAAGCTCAGTTGCTGGAATGCCTGTGATGAAAGAAAAGAAGAAAGGTAAGCATGTTAGCTTTGCAGATACTGTTGAAGTGTTTGGAGATTCAAGTCAAGGGAGGATTTGTTGGGATTTGCCTTGAATCTCAGAATCCCACATCGAAAGTTAAGTAAGTTTGAATTTGTCTTGTATCCCACATCGGGAGTTTAGTAAAGGTATAAAGGGTTTCACCCCTATAAATAAGATGTTTTGGTTTTAGTTTAGTAACCCCATAGAGTTAGACACCAAGAGAATAGCTAAGTGAGTAGGCTATTAAAGGGTGTAATTGGGTTTTGGGTTAAGTTTTGAGTAAGGAGTTTTAGGAGACTTTTCTCATTCTAAAAGTCTCACAATTGTAAAGATTTATTTGATAGTGGATTAAGTTGGAGTAGGCCATTTTGAGTTGGGCCGAACCAAATATATTTGTGTGTTCTTATTCTTGATTTGAGCTTGTTATTTTGTGTGTGGTTGCTGCGCGTAGGTATTGTTGTTTTTCCCAACAATTTTGACATGACACTGATTAAATTATAAATTTCTTTTATGTTTGTGTGCCTTTTAATTTGATCATCAACAAAACTCTCCATTTACTGTTCAAAAAGGAGAGAAGCCACATCACTTAAGTTTTCAAATTCAACTAATTGCTATGTTCTTGGGGTACTTGAGAAAAACAAATAACAATTATATAAACAATCACAAGTTTCATCTTCATTATTGCAAGCATTTTTATTTTAGGGTTTGGTTAACGTTACTGTATATAACCATTTTTTAAAGATTAATCATTAAATTATTATTTTAAACAATATTCTTTTTTGTTTATTTATTTATTAATTTCATCGAATTCAAACTAAAACAATACATATTAAATACAAAATTCTTTTTATAAGATACATCCGACAAGCATTGTTTAAAATATATATTTATAGTTCTAAGCTTTAAAAGTATCGAATCCTTCTGGTAAAGGAAAATTAGGACAAAGCTAGAGGAAGATGACATTTGATTAAATCTTACGTCTTCATGTCTTCGTTTAAGATGAGAGCTAGTCAAACCTAGCTGTGTTGAAGAACGATACCTAAACTCAACTAAAATATTATACTCAATTCCTTCATCTCATCTACAGTTAAAAGGTGAAGTTATAAATATCCAGTTTTAAATTGATGTAAATTAAGTTATATTTTTTTCGCAAATGGTGTGTTTTTTTGGATATATTTATATCTTTTTCATTTACAATATATACAAATATATAATAAATAAATAGTAAAGCTGAAACTTGAATTTAATTTCATTATTATATAATAATTGATTCTAATCAAATTGAAGTCAACTTTGAGCAATAAATAAATGAAAAATCTCACACATTATTATTTGTTAGACTTGCAGAATTCATGATTGAGCTCAACTATTTTATTAGATTATTGTTTTTTTTAAATAGTCGAACTTACACCAACGAGCAAACACACTATCCTCAATGGAAAATCCAATCATGGACCGTCCTAATGGAACATAGATTGTTAATTTATTTGGGCTAGGTCCACTACAATCAACCCAGATCATTAACCAATGGCCAGATTGTTCCCATTAGAACCCAAAACCCAGGAGATCAAATTTTTCTAATCCACAGTACTGCTATGCTAGTATTCTCTGCAAGCGACTCAACTAGAAAGCAAGAAGGTGGAAGCGAAGTTGTAGTCTAGTCACGATGAATCTCAGCTGTCTACAACCTTTGTTTAAACTACCCAATTATCTTGTCCCTGTAACATTTCCAGGTACTTCTTCATTCTTGAACAATCACCAAGCAAACCCAAGTAAATCAAGTATAAATTTCAGGAGTTACAAAGATGGAAAATTTGTTAAGAGGAAAGGAGGAATTGTACGTGGGTGGTTATTGCCAGTGGATCCATGGGCACCAAACGTTGACTCAGAAAGCATTGCTTCACAGCTTTTTGCAGTTTCTTTGTTTCCATACATTGGGTTCTTGTACTTCATCACCAAGTCTAAGTCTGCTCCAAAGCTCACCCTTTTTGGCTTCTACTTCTTGCTTGCCTTTGTGGGTGCCACTAGTGAGTTTTCTGGGAAATACGTATATCTTTCTCAGATCTTTTATTATTGTGATTGATACTATGAGGTTACTTTGTGCTTTGTCTTTCGTTCTAAATTTCAGAAATGAGGTGAATTTTGACTTGGGAGTTGGGAGTAGGAGATGGATTCTCTTGCTATGAAATAAAGAAATTAGCTTTTTAGGCAAAAAAGTAGAATAGAATTACACAAATGAGCTAGGATGTAGACAAATTGAAAGGATTATTAGTTTACCTTTTGTAATGTTTTTACAAGCCTATTTTGAGATACCGTCATTTTAGCATATATTCCCTTCTTGTTTTATCAAACTGTGAAATTCATATGTTAGATATTTGACTTTAATTGCTATTGTTCCCATATTCTATGCTAGTTCTTCTCTTTGGATAATAGTATGCTGCATTTTGAGATTCTGAATTGATGGCTTGTCATAGCTTAGGCAGAGATACATATTGCAACGATGGGGCATCTGCAAGCCGTAACATTTCTCTTAGAATGGTAGAAAATTTGCTGTCTGCTTTTGGTCATTCCGAACAAGAATTTGTTTCAACTCTACTAATTTCCTTCATATTGGTCTTTTGCTGATTTCATGTCTACCAAGCAGTCCCAGCTGGAATATATGGTAAGTTCTCACCAATGAACAAGAATTACTTTTAACACTTTTTATATATGGATGCCAAATTGTGACCCTATCCATGTGGTTGAGACAGCAAAGGTGAAATATGGCACTTCCTTATCTAATGTGGATTGGTTACATGGAGGGGCTGAATCACTTCTCACTTTAACCAACTTGTTCATTGTCTTGGGGTTGAGACAAGCTCTTAGGAAGACTGAGGATGCAAAAGAAAGCACATCAAGCTCTGTTCCAGACATGAAAAAGCGGAAGAAGCCTTGCATATCGGAGTAAGTGAAATTCGATATAAGTTGATATCCTTGCCATTCCATTGTTCAAATACTATGAGCTCTTCTCAGTTCTGTTGGATTTTGCTTTTTTTCCGGAAGTTTTCCTGTTTCAGAAGGACATCAAATACCTTATATTTTCTGAACTGTTACCTTGTAACTATTCCTCTCCTGAGAGTCCCTCAGCACATATGCAACATAAAATTCTTCTTTGCTGCTGACTAGAGCTTTGTTATTGGTTCATTTCAAATCTCTTCTAACAGATCGCAAGTTTCCCATCGAGATTTATTAATGCTGTCGGGTTTCTCCAAGCCTCATTTTATAAATATCTCTTATACGCACCACTAATGGGTTTCATTTGTTTTATCTTCTAAGCGTCAAGACAAGCAATGTCGTGTCTACTAAAGGGGTCATTGGAAATGTAGATTCTTTTTCCCGTGTATACAGATTTTTCTCATCTCAAATCCTGGATTTGTTACTTTCACACAATATCATATTATGGACAACTTATTTGAATTCTAAATCGCCATAACTTAATACTCGTTTGCAAATGCAATGAAGTTGCAGAATGTGTTAAAGGACATTTTGCATTTTTTATGCAATTATTGCGTGTTTCTCCAGAAGGTTTCTATATGCCAACATTATCTTTTGGGTAAAAATCTGGGCACCAATATTATTGCAACTCCGATTAGAACAAATGTCGAAACTTGTTATCCAAGAAAATTCTCACAACCAACATCATATTGAAACATACTTATGTATTCTACAGTAGCTCTAGGCGTTAACAACCAGCTAGGATGAACAGATACAACCAGCTAATCTGGTCAGTGGAACCTGAATTCTACATCTGGCTTATTTCGATTGTGAAAAAGAATTAGGGGAAAAATTCCGGAGTGTTGAATGGGAAATTTGGATCCAACTCCACTTGATCAAGTGAGAAATCAAAGTCCATAATTGAAGAATTGGTAGCTGAAGTTTTGACTGAAATCAACTCCATGAGATCAGATTCAGAATGTTGTGTATTAAGAATCCCTCCAGAGTTGTTCATCTGAGAATGAGAAACAGAAAAGTTTACTTTAGGTGTAGCAGGAGACATGAAAGGCGAAGAAAAGCTGCCTGAGATGTTGTTATTATCAACTACTCCTGAAGGTAAAAAACCATGGCTTTCACTCTTAAGGCACCCAAATGATGTTGAAGGAAAAGAAAAGGACGGTGCCATCTCTTTATTGTCTAAGCCCTCGGTATTGACCCTTATGCCTTTTCGAATATTTAAGAGGATATCCTGTGATTGCCATTGTTGGTTATTGTTATTATTAAGGTTGTTTGGTTTATGTTCCTGTTTTTCTGGTGAAGCTGGTGGTGGAACTGCCTGGTTGCCATGGGCACATGTGTGAGTTCCTCTGTAAGTGACCTCAAAGATGGTGGGATCTTCATCTGATCTCTGGACTTGCTTTGTAGCCCAGCAGTTCTGAGTTTTACGGTAGGTGCATCTGTAATAGCTTCTGCAAAAGTAAACAATCTCTCATCAGGATTTTTACTAAATAAATACGAGGTTAGAACTTCAACGGCAAGAATGCAGTCAAAAACAAATGTTAAAATGAATAGACGAATTCCAAGGAAAAAAAGTTCTTTCAAGATAAGAGAAAAGACTTATCACCTAGGATATTTGGCTCCGAGGATATCTTTTTGCCCATATTTTCGCCAGCTATAGCCATCATCATGAGGTCCCTCGAGCAGGTTTTCAGAACCAACTCTCACCTGATCCGTCCATCTAGGCAACATCCTTCTGCAAAACCCAATTCCAAAAACATGTTCCAGGAATCATTAGCATCAAATTAACTATAAATTTTGCAGTAACATACAATAATTATAACTTGTAGTTTGCAAATTCACCTCTTCTTTGAGACATCTCTGATATCCTGGTTATCCTTGTTATCTAAATCGTCACTCCGAGGGCTGCCGTTGATGGATAGAGGAGACTCTGGCACACCAGATGTCTCTCCCACATTCTGTTGTGTCTGTCCCATTGGCCCACTCAAGTTCAAAATCAGAAGAGCTTTCTCATATGAAGACAAAATCTTCTGTACTAACAAATCCCTGGATTCAACAGAAGAAGCTGTATCCAAATGCATCCTTAACTGTTTTGCTAACTCCATTCCTCGAATCAGCTCACTGATTAGTATCCCCTGCTCCCAGTTCCATCTCTGCTCCATTTTTTTTTTTTATTCTAACTTCTGAGAGCAGGATATTATTACAGGAAATAGAGAGGGATTCCTCGTTTAAAACTTGGAAGTACTAATTCATAACACTACCACTTCCGAATATACTAAACTGGGCAAATTTGGTTATCAAGAAGCAAGAGCTTTCCCCTAAGGGACACAAGCAGAAGCAGCCAAAGGGGTTCAGGTAACCTGAATGGTGAAAAGCAAGAAGCAGCAACCATGGAACTTGACCTGAATAAAAGTTGATTATGTAGCCGAAATTTGAACGGTTGAAACTTTTTTTTGCTGAGCTTAAGCCAAGGGAGAGTAGGGGAGGGAAAGCTTTTGGTTTTGAAAAAGAAGATGAAGGTCTGGGCTTTTAAAGGAGCTCCTTTGGATAGAAAAGGTTGTGGGAAAATGGAAAGTTTGAAGTTTGACTGAAAGAAACCGAGTTTTTCCGCAAAGACCAGTCTTTGGTCATATGATAATTTAGAAGTAAGAGTGGCGAGTGAGGAAAGGTCCTACCTCCAAAGTCTGACCAATTCTCCCTTCAAATTTACTTCTAAAATGGAACTGTTTTTTTTCCTTATTTGTCCTTTTGTGACACGAATGATTGAGGTTAAGAATGGAAACTAAAGAGTAGTATGGAGAAAGTGCGACTTAGAATGGAAGAGTTGGACCAATAAATTTCAAACCATATTCCGCCTTGTTGCTCTGCCATTATGCTTTTCCATGCGGGAAAAATAGAGGTTCCGTGTAATGAAGATGCCATTACACCCACTTGCCCATCTGCTCTTCCCTGTTGGATTCTTCCTGTGGCTTCATGTGGTAAGAGGGGATTTCAATATTTTTGTTTTTAATGATGAATCGTAACTGTGGAGAACATGCAACGCAACGAATAAACGTTGATTGACTCAGTCTCGCCATCGTTGAGCCACCTTGACCTGAATGCATTCTATTTTTTCTAGACGGATTGCCCTGTTACCATGATCAAACAAATTCAACACGAAGCATGTTACTAGCACTTTTGGAAACCGCAGATTCTTTTTATTTTAATCATGGGAAACTTTTAAAAGAACCAAACTCTTATCACATTTGAAGATATAGAATAATATCAAGTTTCATCAGAGGCAAGAATTTCACGCCATTGTAGCCCTCAAGGCATCAACCCATCCTTAATTTTAAGGGTGGAAAGGCCATTGTCTTGAATTCTCTATCTAACCCAACAACCCTTTTTTATTAAGAAATTGTTTTTTTCAATAATGATTAAAATAAATACAAATATAATTAATGTGACTAAACTACACCTTTCAATGTGAATATAAAGCCATTCGTTAGAGGTTTGACTTCTATCTTTTTGGGCTCTTTATTTATTTTATTTATTGGGTTGATTTAAGCTTTTCATTCAATAACTGCCATGAGACAGACACATGAGCATAACCAATGGAATTGACAGTGTCCCTCAAACTTAGAGACATCCAATAAAATTGGAACAGGTTCCATTTTTATAGGAGAGACTATTTGTAGGTCTTTAACGTGAAACGTCTCAAATCAAATAAATTAATGAAAAATATATTAAATTTAGAAACTTTTTAACTATACTCGTGTGTCAATTTGTTGGATTTGGAAACATGAATTTGTTTAATTTGCTCCATTGGTGTCATTTTATAAACAATCTCTTTATTAGTGTCACATCTTAAGATTGAGACATACATAGTGATATTATCTTAAAATAAAATTCTAAAATAATAAGAAACATTTTTTCTAATCATTGAAAAATTCTCGTTTAAAATAGTGTTCTTAAGAAATTTTAATATCTATAAACTAAATAATTAACAATTTTCTAAATAGTTAATGTCGACTAATAAAATAAAAAAAATTCATAAAATTTTATTTGCCAAATAATAACTCTAATACCCAAATTTTTTTTAGCTCTTTACAAGACTAAACATACTTATAAATTTATATCATTTATAAAGAGAAAGTAAAAGTGAAATGAGCATATTCTAGTTTAACAAGTATAGGCTTACACACTTTACTGATCAAACATCATTTTTTTGCATGCTATATAAATCATTCAAAATATTCATTAAATCATAATATTAAAACATTTAAAAAATCATCATTATGTCAAAAATTTTGTAATTTCATAAATTAATATCAAAACATATCAATTCATAATATCATTCAAATATCATAATCAAATTAAAACATTAATCAATTTTTAGAAATTATCGTAAATTATCATCAATTCTTTTTATAATCTTTGTTTATACAAATCATGAAATAGTTTTTAAAATCATAAATTCATCATCATAAATCATCATCATTATTATTAGTTTATTATTAACTATAGTCACTGTTATAACCCATCACTATAGCTATTATCACAATTTCATCCTTATGATCATTGCTAACTATTATAATCCGCTAATTAGAGCCTTATGCTAACTACTATAACCTATTAGCTAGGGTCGTATAATCATAGCTATGCTAACTACCATAACTCATTAATTAGGATTGTAAAATGAGTTATAATGTCACTGATGCCACCTCATAGGGATGAAATTTTATAACTATCATAAAATCGTTCTTTAAGTATAAATTAATGTCTCATTTCATTCATAAACATGATTTATTTTTTATATAGCAAAACGCAAAATAATTAGATGCTTGATCCTATTTTCATATATAAAAAATAAGAAATAAAACATTCACTCATTTAAAAATATACATATATACATAGGTTTGAAAATAAATAAAGTGTGTGAGATTCTACTTATCTCCTTTTGATTTCACCACTTGGTTTTTCTTCTAAAATATTTAATGGCCTATTCAAGATCATTTCAACATATCATAAATTAATCAACTAGTTTTGAGATCATTTATACTAAAAATAACTAAATTATATAAATGTTAACTTAACTGACTAATACTAGTAGCTTATGCTCTTTTCATTAAAATGACCCTATCTTAAGGTGTACAACTCAGAATTAAGATATTTTTAGTGTGTTAGAAGCTAGACTCGATAATTTTCTAACCATATATGTCTCACCTCTTAATTCATTGTAGATTGATTGTAATAATTTTATGCAATCCATGTCATATGCTGTTGCCTGACGGCATGCATGTATAACTTCTAGTAAAAATTAAATATTTATTCATAGGAGACTTAAAATTCAGTTTTGCTTGTTTTGTTAAAAAGTAGACTCAATAATCTTTTTCAACATATATGGGTCAATTAATAATTCACTGTCTAAAAATTTATAGAATTTTCGTAATTCTTCCTTGCTACTGTTGCTAGATAGCTGACACATTCTTGGGTAAAAATTAAACAACTTTTCATAGAAAACTTAAAATTTACTTCTATCTATTTTGTTGGAAAGTAGATTCAACAAGCCTCTAATGATATATAATAATCATAGTAATATTTTATCTCTCAATATAGAATTTTATTTTAATCCACTACTATAAATACCATAGTTCATATGAAACATAATTTTTTCCTTTTCTAACTCCATTCAATTTTTGTTTTCTATTTTTACAATTATAAAATCACATTACTAAACTTTCTTAACACTTCATTATGAACTAATTAAAGTCTAATTGCTTTGCCCAAACCAATCTTAAAGAGTGATAATGGATTTCTAAGGTTTTTAGGTTTTTTGATTACAACTTAAAGTCCAAGACTCAACAATCAAGAACCATTTCTCTAGAATTGAAATAGGATATTTACTCACCTTTGGAAAACAAATCCTTTTGTAGATTTCATTCTTGATCAACTGAAATCCTTCAACATGTTTGCTTTGTATAAGAAAGAGAAGAGAAATAAATCTTGAGGGGTTTGCACCCCAAAAACTACTCAATCCCCTCAAAAATTTTATTACAAATTTAACCTTTAATGAATTACTTAAATACCCATTAGTCAATTACTTTTTTTTTTTCACACCCCATTCTTCTTCTTCTTCTTCTTCTTCCCAGACTAGCATTACCAACTTTCTTCTTACCCTAAACCTAACAAAAAGTTAATTTATTTTACCAATAGGCTTTACCGAAAATGAATTTTTGAAAGATTGTAAATGTAGTCGGACATATATATATCCGGAATGGCTTAGTAAATTTCAAAAATTCATTTTCGAAAAAGTAAGTTATTTACCAAAATTTAATTTTTAGAAGTGAGCAAAAGTTATCGAAAATTGATTTTAAAAAACTTATTCAATGTATTGAAATACATTTCTTGAAAACAATGCAATTTTGGAAGTAGTTTTATTTTTTTTAGAATTTTGATTTTGTTGGATTTCTAGAAGTAAAGCAATTCTTGATTCAACTCCTAGTAACAATTCTTCTTAGGAACTTATGAAGGTACTCTCTGTTAGTTTATTTGGGCTTATGTAGAATGATATGGTTAAATAGTGCTTAAGCTTTTTTTTTTTTCTATATAGCACTTTGCCATTACTGATAATGATTTTCTTATTGCAAGAAATACTGCTTTGTAAAGCCAATTTCAAGAATGACTTGATTGACCGCCATGTGATCCTATATTTGAAAGAGAGAAAAGTGAATGGGACAACAAAGTAGGTCAAGAAAAGCTAGTACAGTCGACATCTGGTTGGAATATCAAAGTGACTGAAGAAAAAACAGTTCAATCGACATGTGGTTGGGATAAAACAATACTCAAGAAAAGCCAGTTTAGTTGACTGGTTGGGTTTCTACAACTGCTGCAGGCTAGACTAGGGTTGTAAACGAGCCGAGCTAAGCCGAATAATGAGAAGCTTGAGCTCGAGCTCGACTCACAACTCGGGACTCGATACTCGACTCGAGCTCGATCGAGTTTCATTTTTCAAGCTCGAACTCGATTCGTGATCGAATTCGAGCTATTTGAGCTCACTCGATTAAGCTCGATTAATATATAAAAAAAAGCTCGATTTTTATACTAAAAAAAAACTCGATTATTCGAGCTTGAGCTCGAGCTCGAGCTCGAGATCTTTTACAACTAATTTTTATCAAACCTAATAAATATTATATTTTCAAGATAACAACAACAACAATAACAACAACAATAATAATAATAACTTACACAACAACCAAATTTAAGCAAATAAAAGTCTCATTAAATGATTCAAATACAACACACAAATATAAGACATAATGAAACTTAGAAATTAAAATCCTAATTGAAAGATATTAAATATCCAAGCAAATAAGTTCACAAATAAGTTACAACAAACCAACAACAATACATATGCTGCCTTCACAATATTATGTCTTCAAATGAACATTGAGCTCATATTGCTTTTCAATAAACCTATACAAAAGAATAATTACAAAACAAAGAAATTATAATTAACAATAAGAATAACGATAAAAGTACCCATGCAAGAAAAAGATTGTAATATTATTACAATGATCAATAACTTTAAATTTTTAACATTAGCATCAACATGGATTTTATCTTGTCAGTTGTCTTATAATCAGAGCAAAAAAATATAAACAGTATCTTGTTAATTACCTTAACATGAGTTTCTATCATTAGTTAACCTATGGTTCGTAAATTATAATGCAAAAAGCTCAATCTAGACTAGCTACTACCTATTTTTCTTTAGTAATGTTGTGACAAATTAAAAGTATTTAATAATAATATTTCATAACTGTATAGAAGACATTAGATATCCTCACTTTAGAGGACTTTGAGTGCAATCTCAATTGATTTCTTCTCTTTCTACATAGATAAAGTAAAGGAAAATAATAGTTAAAAATTAGATTAAAGCAATGATAGTCACCTAATAACAAAATAATAATAAAAAAAACTCACTTTGTTCTTCTTCTTCACTCCATGAAGATTCCGACACCAATCTCCTCCACAAAGTAATGCTTGCACTGTGTCAGAAGATAAAAAAGTACGATAAGTATCAATAACTCTACCTCCTGCACTAAAGGTAGCTTTTGAAGCCACTGTAGTGATAGGAATAGCAAGTATATCCGGAGCCATCTTGGATAAAATACGATCTTTAAAGTGCTCGCTTTCCACCATTCCAAAGCATGAAACTTAGTGGAATCTCCTTCACAGATAAAACAGCCCTCAGCTAGGTAGACATCTAAATCAGATTGTTGTGGTTGAGCATTTTCAACTGATTTTACATAATTTGCAAATTCAAACCAACCAGAAGAAGAAGCTTCTATATTCATACCACTAATACCATTATCATGCACTTGAGTTTCAGCACTATGCTCATTGCCAAATTGATACTCACGAGCATATTCATCATAAATCTCATAAAGGGCATCTCAAACTTTAGCAATATTTTCTTTTGCTTTTCTATCAAGGTACATTCGAGGAAAGCAAAACTCAATCACCCTTATTTTGCACCTTGGATCCAAGATTGCTGCTATAGACATTAACAAATTACATTCTCCCCAATACTTATCAAATTTACTCTTCATCTTACGAACCATTGCTTGAACAAATTCATTTTCATCATTCATCCTTTTATCCAACAACACTTTCACACGATAAACTTCATTCAAAAACAGGTTTGAAGTTGGATAATCACTTCCAAAGATGATTTTAGTGGTTGAATTAAAAACTTCTAAAATCTCACAAACTTTCTTCACCTTTTTCCAATCTTCATGACTTGGACAACATTCATAATGAGATTCTCGCTCTTTGAGTCTCAAAAACACTTCTTTGAATTTGATTGCAATCGACAACATCTCGAATGTCGAATTCCAACGTGTTTTACAATCGAGAATGAGTTTCCTATCAGGTAACTGTAACTGCTATACTATATCAAAAAATGAGTTAAGTCTTGCCTCATTTTGATTAATAAAATTGATACTTTCATGAACATCACCAATCACATTCTTAATCTTAGAAAGGCCATCTTGAACCATGAGATTTAAGATATGTGCACAACACCGAACATGAAATAATTTTCCTCCACAAAGCAACATTTTATTTCTTGAAAAAGTGTCTTTAAGAATTTTAATCGCCACATCATTGCTTGAAGCATTGTCCACAGAAAGTGTAAACACCTTGTTTTTAATTCCCCATTCCTTTAGACACTTAAAAATACAATCAGTAATCTCAACACTACGACGATGATGAGGTATATGAACAAAGCTAATAACATGCTTTTGCAATCTCCAATTAGAATCTACAAAGTGTGCTGTAAGAACCATGTACTCAATCTTTTGATTACTTGATTTCCATAAATCTGTTGTCAAACTAATCTTACTGACAGTCTTCAGCAATGCCTTTAATTTCTTCTTTTCTGCTTCATAAACTTGCATGCAATCCTTTTTAATAGTATTACGTGATACCTTTTCCCATTCAGGCATCCCACGTTTTTGCATCATGTTAAAACCTTCCTCTTCTATAATCAAAAAAGGATGCTCGTGCATAAGTATCTAATGTGCAGCTGCTTCTCTCATCTTTACCATATCAAACTTGCCATTTGTGAGAGTAGGTAGTATCTGTACATCACCACATGTGTTTACTGGCTGAAAGTTGATCATTTGTTATTGATTCTAAAAAATTTTTCTCTTCACACAAGTTATAAATGCCTTTTAAATTGAGTTGTACTTTTACTTGTATTTATTGCTAGCTTCTTCTTGCAATGGACACACTCTCTTTTTTTGGAACCATCAGAAAGAGTGACTTCTTTGAACTCTAACCAAACAGCAGATGTTTTTTACCTCTTTTTCTCATTACTTTCTTCACACTCTTCAGGGTCAGCATTATCACATTCTCTATCATTGGCATCAATGACTGGTGTTTTATCTGTGTTACCATTAGTGGCATCTAAAGCTTCATTCATTGAATCATTACCATCATCTGACACAATTCGACAAGTAAAAGAATTTATTGTCAGCTGAACTGGTATAGAAGAGATATCCGGTGTGGTTGATGACATGTTTAGTTCCCTATAGCAAAAAAAAAAAAAAAAAGACAAATCAAAACAATAATATAATTTTAGGATCAAACAATAATGCAAACAAGTTGTTAGAAACATGTGCGATAAATTTTATTGCCAGAAACATGCTAAACAAGTTGCGAGAACAAATTATTGAAAGAGTATAAAATTTTATTCTTTGGGAAAATATACTAATATTGTAGGAATTTTAATAAATTTAAGATTACCTACTTCGATAATAATTTCAATTTCTAAAATCAATTTCTTAAAATGAATATTTCTTATTAATTTTTACAATTATACATGCCTATTTAGTATTTATATAACATTAACTCAATCTCATTAGAAATAAGTGTCAGGTTATATTCTAACAAATCTAATATGCATAAAGAAGAAAAGTATTCACATTAAACAGTCCCCAATAAATTAGTGATGAACTATATGAAAGCTCAAATTATGATTATGACTAAAAACAATAGAGCCATGACCTTTGTTTTTTGTTAAATAATATGAACCATCCAAAAGTTTTTCTATTGATAAAGTGTATTGTGCAAGTCTTGAAGTGGCCCAAATTCAATTACTTTTTTGCTAATAATATAGAGACTTTTGATTTACAAAATTCAGTATTTAAATGCAACTTCACAAAGAACATACTACTTTTCACAAGTTTGCAACAAAAATAAAAGTATAATATGATAGTGTTTAACAAACAAATCAGAATTGAGAATATCAATACTAACAAATAGCTATAACACCTTGCCCCCTTTCATTGTTTTTCTCGATCTGCATCCCCACAATATTCATAAGGGTATTTAATTTAGGCATTCATAAAGGTATTTAATTAAGGCATTCTTATTTAAACCACCTTTTAGCATGAATTGGAAGCCTAACATAAAAACATTTAATAAAAAATGGCACTCAAAAAGTATGTCATGGAGAAAAGGCTACGTTAAGGGATTAGGTTCTGTTCAAGCTACTGCAAACGTCGAATGGGTGGAACGAACCTTTTATAGAGAAGAGAAAGGGCTACGTTGAGGGATCAAGTTCTGTTCAAGATTGAGTTCTGTTCAAGCTACTGCAAACGTCGAATGGGTGGAACGAGCAGAGTTTCGTTGAGGGATCAGGTTCTGTTCAAGATCGGGTTCTGTTCAAGCTACTGCAAACGTCGAATGGGTGTTACTGCAAACGTTGAATGGGTGGAACGAGCAGGGCTTCGTTGAGGGATCCGATTCTGTTGAAGCTGCTGTAAACGTCGAATGGGTGCTACTGCAAACGTCGAATGGGTGGAACGAGCAGGGCTTCGTTGAGGGATCGGGTTCTATTCAAGATCGGGTTCTGTTGAAGCTGCTGCAAACGTCGAATGGGTTCTGTTGAAGCTGCTGCAAACGTCGAATGGGTGGAACGAGTAGGGCTTCGTTGAAAGATCGGGTTCTGTTGAAGCTGCTGTAAACGTCGAATGGGTGCTACTGCAAATGTCGAATGGGTGGAACGAGCAGGGCTTCATTGAGGGATCGGGTTCTGTTCAAGATCAAGTTCTGTTGAAGCTACTGTAAACGTCGAATGGGTTCTGTTGAAGCTGCTGCAAATGTCTGTTGAAGCTGCTACAAACGTTGAATGGGTTTTGTTGAAGCTGCTGCAAACGTCGAATGGGTTCTATTCAAAATCGGGTTCTGTTCAAGCTTTTTAGAGAGAGGAGAAAGGCCTTTCGAAAGGGTGGAACAAGCTTGGAAGACAATGGAATGGGATTCAGGAAGAAAAGGTGCTGCAAGTAGGGCTGTTGGTGAGTGAGGGAGACGGGGAGAAAGATTGAAGGAGAAGAGAGAAAGAAAGAAAATAAAATTTTAGGGTTTTTTAAGCTAAGGGTAAAAAAGTAATTTTATAAATAAATATATAATAGAAAAGCTCGATTAGGCTCGTGAGCTACTCGAGTCGGATATAAGAATACTCGAATTTGACTCGATCGATAAGTCGAGCTATTCGAGCTCGAGCTCGACTCGATAATAATCGAACCGAATTCGAGTTTTCTTCGAATTGAACCCGAATAGCTTGCGAATACTAATGTATCATTTACACCCATAGGCTAGACTAAGGATAAGTCACCTATAATGAATAGTTCTTGTGACCAATAAAAGTACTATTCATTGTAGGTGACTTTTGTTGGCCCACTAACATTCATTATAGGTTACTTTTGTTGATACTCAAGAAAAATTAGTTCATTTGATTTCGTATTGACTTTAATGAAATTTCATGTTAAAATATTTATGTGCAATTTAAAACTTTTGAAAATGGATTTTAGGAAGTTCTTAAAGGTTTTATATTTAAGAATTTTTAAAATTTTATTTTCGAAAACCTTTAAAAATTCATTTTCGAACATTTTGAATGCACCCAAACATTTTAATATGAAATCTTATGAAAATAAACACAAAATCAAATGAAAAAGAAAAAAAAACAAATGATTTATCTTTGATTTTATCCTTTCTAACTTTAAGTAGTTGATTTGGGGCTTCAAATCTTAGGATTTACGATTTAGATTTGAGGTGTGAGGGAAAAGAAATGGGGTGTTTGGGTTTTAGGTAAATTTGTGTGTTGAGGGTAAAAAGTGATGAGTAAAAGATGGATGTTAAAAGTAAGGAGTGCATAGAGTAATTGTTAGGGTGTAAATAGTAACTCGTTCCCTAAACCCTTTCTTTTATTTCGATCAATTATCAATCAAACAACTAGTATATGTTAACCTTATTAAAAATTGAGTTATTTATCATTAAGTACTATGCATTTTTCATTCTTCATTAAAATTTTTCTTCACTTATAAAAATCTTTAAAATAGTCTTTTTTTTATACAGGTATTACAATTATATTAGAAGTTAGGAAATATATTACTATTTGACAAGAGTTAGTCCAAATGCATACATTTAGGATTGTAGGAGGTTGATTTGTGCAATTTCTTTTCTTTTTTTTTTTTTTTACTTTTTAATTTCATTAAGCAGTTTCTTTATAGATATTTGTGGTATAATTTATGTAAACTCTTAGGTTGGTCAAATAAATTCAAATTAATAAAATTTGAAATAAACTAGTGCTACCATACTTGCAGCTGCAAAGCTCTTCAATGATGTATAGCTATATGTTTTTTTGACTTAAAAAAAATTGCAAATGATCATTTAACAATATATACACCGAGTGTCAACATATCTATATATTTTGTTTCGAACCAGTCATAGTATCTTGTTAATTTTGGTGAGATACGTAAGAATATCCAGTTAATTTAAAACCAAACATTTGGTCGATGTATTGCATATTATACTTATGGGGATTATACAAATCAAATTTTAAATTAATTAAAAATATTTAATTAATTGTTTGATATAAAAAAATTCAACCGTTAAATACATATAATAAAAAAACTTCCCACATAGATATGATAGAAATATTAAATTGATTGAAAATTTTATGTGCATGACGAATATGATTATGTTGTTAAATCCAATAATTAGTTTATTGAAATGGAATTAATGTAAAAAATGATTGTTAAACTATAGTTAAATATTTAATGTTAATCTAAATTTTAAAAAAATTTAATATGTTAGATGAATTATGAATTTATTAATTGATTTGATGTATGAAATATTTATCTATCATGTGTATTTTTTAAAAGTTAATCACATTAAAAATAAATGTTATATTAATTAATATATTTATAGTTAGATATCATTAAATATTTTTAATGTTTAAGTATTATATTAAATATTTTATTATAATTCATGAACTATTTATAATTTTAACTATATTAAAATATTAATCGTGCATGCAATTGGTGTAACTGGATTTCTGCTTTTTAGCTTTTTAATGTCATTTTTCATATTTTGGAAGGAAAAATAAAATGGTATTCCTATAGCGGTGGTTGAAGTAAAAAAAAAAAAAAAAGAGTGGGGGTTGACAATGACAGGTCAAAAATTCATATGCCTCTGACAAAAAGAAATATATAAAATAAAATATCAGCCTCCATTTCAATAGTAGCAACATACGATTCATTATGCATGTACGTCCCCGTATTATAGTGACCGCGTTTTTTGCGGAAGATGATGGAGTTCGAAAATGACGCGAAAGTTGGCATCAAAGACTTTTCCCCAACAACCAAATTGTTAACAACAATGCCCAAAGCCTTCGGAGTCTTGACCACGCTTTGATTCATATTGGACACTTTTATTTCATCCAAACAATTTTTTTTTTCTTTTCTCTTTTATGTTCCCTTGACCCATTTTTTGGCATCCTCATGAAGTTACTTCCGGGGTCTTTTTTGTTTTTAAGTTTATAACCTAAAATTTGAAATATCTTTTTATTAAAAGCCAAAACACATCGCCTTTCTTTCTTTTTCTTTTTTTTTTTTAAGAGATAATCACATTTTTGTATTTTGTTTGGTAAAATTTGTATACTACATTGACTGGTATCATTGTTAATTGCTAATCAATGCTAAATAAGCTAAATAAATCCCCTTAAATACATAAAATAAGAACACGCCCCATTCACCCCGAGTTTTTTAAGCATCCTTTATTTTAATTTTTTCCATCCCCATAAAATATGCATTTTCCCTCGAAAATATTTATTTATTAGAATTTGGTCACTTATTATGTGTTTTTTAATTGTTTTAAAAGAAATGAAGATGTTGCATTAGTAAAGTAGTAGGTTTTTTTTTTTTTTTTTTTTGAAGAAAACATGGAGTGCTTGTTAAAACTAATAAATAGAAAGACAAAAATACCATGAATTCATTTTGTAATTTTAACGTTATTTTGAATTTTTAAAAAATATTTTAATTGACTTGGTGTCACTTGACTCGTGATACCAACTCATTCATACACTTTGTTAATATTATAGATAAAAAATTGTATATATGATCACAAAAAACGAATTTGTAAATAAGAAAAGTCTCTCTTTGTATATATTTTAAAACTTGTAGGAAACAACATTCTAACATCATAAAGGCAAGGGTCTTTTTTTCCATATCATTT